ATATATATATTCTGTGATAATATTAGTAAAATATAATTATTGAAGGAAATTAATTATAATGCAATTAGATACCTTATGTATTTTTTATATGTATTATAGCTTCTTCGGATGGATCCAGTTTAAACAAAAGAAATTAAGACAAAAAAGTGATAATTAAACAATTTTATGAAATATTTACATTATATTAATCATCTTAAGATTTAGAATAAACTAATGCGAAACACATAAAAAGGAAAATATATCTGAGTTAACACCTAAAATGTAATTATTTTCTTATAAAAAACAAAAAGTATTCGTTTATTTTGTACAACATTATTATAACATACATAAAAGTAATTATGCGCATAGTTGTTACATAAATAAAAATAGAACAAAAATTTGGAGCATAAATATTAGAAAAAAATATATATATATATAGCCTAATTTGTAAATTTATGATTGTCTGTGTGTCGTAAGTAGAAATAATAATATACAACAAGCATATATATATTGTAAAATTCAGGATTAATGTGTAAATGAGTTAAACGAGGAACTACTAATAATATTTTTACTTTTACCTGTGTATATAGTATTATTAATGATTTATATATGTTATAAAAGTGAATACATTATTGACGAAAAATTATTGACAAATATATATTTATATTAAACATATGAAAATATATATTATTTTTTTATCATGTTTTATAATACAGAAAATAAACATAATGTATTCGAAAGCTTAAACCATTTTTATAATATAAGTGCTATTGAAGGTAAAAATAATATGCATACGAGTTTATAAAAGTATTATTTCAGTGATATAATAAAAATTGATTTATTTTATAAACAATGAAAAATTTTCTTCATTTTACACAATTTATACAAAAAATATACATAGCATTTATATTATAAAGAATGCGAAGTGAACTTGTTGTATTTTTATAAATATAAATTGATAGCTATTACAAATAATAAGATATTACTCACTTGTATTAACGTTTAATATGTTATTATATATATAAAAATATGTCTTCTGCATCTTTACACATTTTTATGTTTCTTGACGATATACATTTTAAAATATATATTTATTTTTATATATTTTTTCTAGCTATTTTACTAATATATATTAAATACTCACAAAAAACATTTTAAAACTTTCATTTTATATTAAATGAAAATAATATTTTTATCCCTATAAATATATAGATTTTAACGAATATCAATTAGTATAATATAACAATATATATTTTAGAATAAAAAATTTTCACTAAATGTAAAGGGAAATTTATATTTGAATTCAAATAATTGAAAAAAAAACAGAATTAATTATATTTATAGATATATGTATGTGGTTTTTATATAAATATTATAAGTTAATATAATGATGAATATCCTTATAATTCTAGAGGATAATATATTGATGATATATAATTTTTATCCAATGCATATTTTGTATTTAGAAAATTATAGAACTATATCCATTATATAAAGCATTGTTACTTTTACAAAGAATTAACATGAATTTGGTATATATTTATATATAGAACATTTTTTCTATATATAGATTCTATATAAAGTCGATAAAAATCTAACATAACGATTCAATATGTATTTAATGTTTCTCTTCATTTGTAATTATACGTTAGTTTATTATTTTACCTAATATTTTATTAACTAATGAATTTTATCATTTGGATATATGTATTTATTTAATATGTTTTTTTTTTTTTTTTATATTTTTAATTATATGCATAGTTCATATACTCTCTATTTAATAATGTTGTCTTTTTGGAACAATCTAATGAACTCATTAGTGTGTTATACAATGAAGACTATATATATTGGTTAATATTTTTTAAATAACCATGTGCCGTTATCTTACATTGTCATATTTATGTACAAACATCTCATTCTCTGTAGAGTTAATATATAATACTTTTTTTAATGAAGTATTATCATCATTAATATTTGAAATAAAATAATAATTTACACATTATTAATGTTAATTAATGTGATTTTACATAATATAATTCATAAATAAAAAAATATTAATTTGTTAATATATTTTTATGCTATAAAGCATTCAATTATATCATAATAAAAACAATTCTATACTTTATCAAGAGCACCATTTTTATAGATTCATAAGCGTAATAATATTTATTTTAAAGCAAAATTATCATTGTATATGTTATATATATAAGTAATTAAAAATTAAATTTATAGGAAATGAATTCTTTAATATATATGTAGTTTTACTAATAAGAATTATGTATTATTTATACCGCTATATTTGTTATTTTATTGAAAAGTAACAATTATTGAATAATAAAAAATATATAAAATTGCAAAGAATATTTATTTTTATAAAAATAAGTAATGATAATTAATATTTTTATTTCTTAATAGTGAATATATTTATCTATCATAAAAAAAAGTTTTTATAAAAAATTATAATTTTTTACATTACATGATCAAATATAGGGAACAATTTTTATGTTAATGTCGTTTTTTATTAACATAATAAAATGTACATTTTATGTGTTATTATAGTATGAATACAAAATCATTTGTATGGCATAATTAGAATGAATAATTTTGATATATACAATTCTCATAAATAATGAATTTTTCAGATATTATAAGAAGTCGTTAATTCTTGAAAAATACTGACTTAAAATATTTTATATATTCATTATATTATAAAACATAATTTTTCATGTATTTATTGTTTTCATTTCTATTAAAAATGATAATAATTGAGAAATGAAAGTACAAAAAATTTGAAATATAGTATGCGAATGAGAATTGCTTAAATTGCTTATCATTCATGTTTACAGATCACCTAAATATATGTTTTGTTGAATGTGTCTAAATTTTTAATAAATTATTTTTTATAACATAAGTATATGGTTCACATATATTAATTGAGTACAAAAATGTAAATATAATTTTTTTAGAAGGTTATATATTATTGTAATATATATGTATACAATGTATTACATATTATTAGATCCATTACCAAATTTAATAAGTAGTATTGATATGCATTTTACAAGAATGATAATAACGCACATTAATAAGTTTATATCATTTATTACATAAGAGAAACAATTTAACTAGAAAATTATGATTATATGTTCTAATATTTTCTATACCTTTGATTAAATAATACATATCATTATAAAAAATGCAAATGGAAAATAATAAATATTATTGTTGATATAGTTATGTTAATAGCTTTTATTAATATTACATTTTTTTCTTGTGCTTATTGAATTAGTAAAATTATATAATTATAAATTTATCAAAAAATATTAAAATAAAACTTTTTTTTTTAATTTGTTCCGATACTAGCTAATAATATTTGTTTTTTTTTTCTTATAATATCTAAAAAGTATATTATATGTTACAATGATTGCTATTTATTTTCTTATATTTAAAATTTTATAATTAAGATGTTCATTCTGTTTTTATATCAATTATATAATTAAATAAGATGAGAAAGTTCTTTTACTTAAGAACATTAATTTTAATTTTTAAAAACATTATATATGTTCCCATACATTCCATTATTCTATCGAATCATTCTGTAAAGGAATATAAACATATGAGAAATGGATAAAGACATTGTACATATTCAATATTATAATATAAATTACTATATTCTAACATTTTTATTTAATATTTTCAAATAGAATTAATAAAAAGAATTTTATTAATTTATAATTATTATTATAATTTAATTTTTTGTTTATTCCTAGTATAAATTAGCAAAGGATTTTCCTACTTGGGGGTCTATTATGGAAAATGCAAAGTCCAGCAATAGTGATGGGATAACTGGTAATTGTAATTCATTTGAAGCAGCCAAATTTAAAAATTTTGATCACTCTGTTCAGAAGATATGCAAACAAGCGGAAAATTACACGAGCACTATAGAAAGTACATACTGGGAAAGGCTTAACCAATCCAAATTCAGTTGCATATATTTGTATTATTGGCTATATTATTATAATAATAATAAAAATATGGGTCACATTAAAAGTCTTTTTCATGAATTTTTGGAAACTATTGATACCTCTCATAAAAACATATGCTCAGAAAGTGCTTACACTACTATTACAGATGATGAAATGCAAAAGCTCAAAGATCTGCATGACATGTACACTAAGCTTAATAATATAGAGAATAATACTACTTCATTTGATGATAAATGCAGTTGTGCTAATGAATGCGCTATATCATATATGAAATACAAGAATCCCTGTGAATCCAATAGTTTCTCTGATTTTTGTAACGAATTAAAGAATGTTAGGGAAAAATATAATGCACTAAGTACAATTAAATCTTGCAACCATTTAACATATAAAATATTACCTTTGTTCCAAAAAAATAATATAACATTTCCTGTTGTAATTACAATTATTTTGATATTATTAATATCAATAACTTTATTTATTCTGCTTAAAGTAATTATTATAATATGTATACATATTTGATGTAATAAATAAATTTGTTATATATTTATAAGCAAAATATTAATATAATATTTATTTAAAATATAAATTTTTTTATTAACTAGTTTACCCCATATAATTCATGCTTTCAAGGAGCATTAAGGAGAAAGCGAAATAAGTGGAATAATATAGATGAAAATTATAATATATTCCAATCGTACAAAAATGAGAGTAATGCTTCTATGAAGCGTAGACACCATATTTTATAACATAAAGACTAATTCTAACATTATATACATTAAATATTGCACCTATTTGATTAAACAAAAATAAATAGTATTAAACAATTAATATGCGAAAATTCTCTAATAATGTATTCATATAATCGTATAGCAGTAATTATAATATAAAGCGTATATTAATTTTTCAATATAGAAAATAAAATTTTCAAAATACAAATCCTATTGTTATCTAATGAATATCGCTTTCTTCAATAAACTATAGATAAAAACAAAATAAGTATATGTCATATATATCCCATTTTTATATAGAGTAATTATTATGTATAAGTGGCCTCTAAGTTATAAAACACTATAATATTTATAATTAAATAGAGAAAATATATATATTCATATTAATGCAGATGAAAATTGAAAATTGCGATTTTATTTGAATATATAATATTCATTTATTATCTATATATATCACGATTTTTTCTAAAATAATAATATTCATATGTTTATTTGTATTTAATATGTATACATATATAGCATTATATTTGAATTTTCTATTTCCTTTGCATATTTTTCGATATATATTTTAATATTATGAATCATAAATACCAACATATTTATTATATTAATATTTGATACATTACTATAAGTAAGTTAATTACATTAAGAACAGATACATTATAACATATAACATATTTATTCCATTTTTTTGTTTCATTGTAAGCAATTGTTTATTTCTATCTTTTTTTACTCATTTAATTCATGTGAAGATTCATTTTAATACTTATGCATCTTCTTTAATCATCTCATTGCAATATAAACATTGTAAAAAGGATTAAAAAAAACTCACATTATTTTTTTGTTGTGAGGAAAATAAAAATATTATACTTATAAAATATAAAAAAGCAATGAAATATTTTTCAATATAATAATATTTTATAAATGTTGAATTTAACATTTTTCTCTTTGTTTTTAAATATTTTTCTATATCATATATTAACTTTCATATGAATTAACATATTTTTAAAAGATTTGTCATTTGCATTTTACAATATAATTAAATTATATTATATATACTACTTATTTTAGAACCATTTTCAGGTAATCATAAACATCTGATCACATACTGTTATTATTTTATAATATTTCATTGTCCCCATATCATAATAAATTATTTTTTAGTATTTTCTTATATGGTTACACCTATGTTTCTTGCTTTTATTACAATATACATGTATACTTATTATCCTTTAAAATTATAGCTAATTTCTAATTCTTTTCAAAAAAATATTGAACATAAAAACTTTCTATATAATATTTATAAATTTTTGTGTTATTCTATATGAGACCTATATAATGAATATTATTATTTATTTTAAAGAAGATAATATAATAGTATACTTAACATATTTATATATTCTCTTTATAAGGAAAAAGTAATTTATCACAAATACTTCTCAGAACATAAATATATATTAAAGAAAATTATTTTTTGAAGTCTTATAAAAATATTGTATATGCTTTATTTTCTCTATTCGTTAAATTTCCGTAATAAATGTATTAGATTTTTTCACATATATAAAAAAATAAATAATATATATATACGTTTTATAGAAATCTTTAATTTTATAAACAATAGAATATTCACGCAGGCCTTAATATATATGACATATGTTTGACAGCATTTAAGTATTAATGTATTATGCTACGTCAACATATCTCCACTTAACAAACAATATATCCTCGTTAAATTATATTTTAAATATATTATTAATATTAAGGACATTAAGTGTATTATCTATAAAGAAACTATTCATTTTTTATAAAAATATAATTTACGCATTTTCTCCATAATTAAAGAATGTTTTTCAAAAATATAATTCTATTGAAAACCTTTATTATAAATCAGTAATATTTTATAAAAAAATACTAATGATATACCTGACAAAAAATTTTTTTCCATATATATATAAATAAAAAACCATCACATTTAAATATAAAATAATAAATACTTTTATTATTCTATAAACAAAATAAAATATATATATTTTAAAAAATTGCATGATTTCTATTAAAAATAATTAATAAAGCAGGCAATTTTTTACATATTTTGCAATACTTTCAGTATCATAATAACTATAAAACAATAACGTATGATATTTTTTTTAATCTATATGGTATGGATCGTAAAAACATGAATAAAATTATTATATATTAATAGTACATTAAATCAATATGAATTGAAAAAAATACTAAAAAAAAAAAAAAAATTATTACGTTTAAAGTGCTATTAAATTTAATGAGAGAATATCCAATCGTAATATATCATTTAATTATATATAAAAATAGTAATAATTAATATAAGATAATATATATTATTCATAATAACTTGTTCATCAAACAAAATATATATACATTTTTACATTTTATATTTATTATAACAGTGAATTTTTTTTTCATATTATACGCATGTTATATAAATTATACGCTTTATATATAAGAAAATAAACTACATAAAATTCATGAAAATAAGAAAATTATAATAACATTTAACAAAGGTCTCAAAATTACAAAAATATTGAATTCTTATATTACACATAATAAAAAATTATATATATTTTTTAATATAATATTATATTGTTAAAAAATAAAAATAATAATTAAGCATATAATAATTATAACTGTAACACAAAGAGATAGATAGTAAATTAAAAAATCAAAAGCATATATAAAAAATCAACCATGATATTATACGATGACAGCTAAACATAAACATTTAAAATTAAAACCCTAAACATTGAACCTAAAATCACTAAATCGTAAAACCTATATAACATTCCTAAAAAATTGAACACTAAACACTGAATACTGAATAGGGAACCCTAACCCTAAGCCCTAAACCTATATCATGAACTTATTTTCACTACTACAATTCAGTGTTTATATATAATACATTTATGGATAATATATAATAAAATCATAGAAAAAAAACATTATATCACCTCTGATTTATTATGATTTTCCCTATGATTATATAAATCATAAATTAATATAATTATAACTAATTTTTTTTTTTATTTAGCATGAATTTTCAAATTATGACAAATAAAAAAAATGAATACATTATATTTTAATTATCCGAGCAATATATATATTAAAACATCATGGTTATATTTCATATGTTATGTATATTTTATAATAAAATAAAGACATTTTTTTGTTATATGTTAATTTTGTGTTCTATAATTTTAATATCTAAATGAATAAGAAAAAACTGAGAAAATAATTGTACTGTTATATCTTTTTAAAAATATAAAAATTTACATATTATAAATTATATTTTTAATATAGAAAATGAGAAATAATTGGATAATTATTATAAAAAGAACAAATATATTTAATTTATAATTAATGCTCTAAAATATGAAAAAAATATAAGTTATGCTAAAACTACATAAATCATATTTATAATTTATGCATATTATAAGAATAACAATAATGTGAAATATTTTTTATTATTCTATAATTAATTATTGCAAGAAATATTTTATAAAAGAAAAACATAACCAAATACAAAACGAACATTCACATATGCTTTTCCCCTTGTCATGTAAATATTTTGTTCTTTAATATTTGTATATAATACGTATAAATGAAATATTCAATCGAGTTCAGATGCCTATAATAATTTTTATAATAATATTTATTAGAATAATCAGATGATATATAAATTTCTACATTGTTCCCATTTTTTATATACGCATTGAACAATATAAAAATATTATTATTTTATTAAATGTTCGAATATTTTCATTTTTATACTTAGGAAAATGTTGTTTTTATTATGATTACGAAATTATGAATACAACTAACAATTGATGAGAAATATTTATTTCTTCTAGTAATATATATGAAAATTAACTAAATTAATTTAAATATAAAACATATTTATTATGATTTATCTTCACCTATTTCATTATATTTTTATATTATTTAAAAACATTAATGATAAAATAATATATGTGTGGAAATAATGTAAGTATTATTTTTAAGGAATAATGATACCTTATAAATTTCATTTCTATAAGAATAAATTTAGTATTATTTCATTTATAACAAAATTTTTTTTTTATTCAACAATAAATATTCATTTTTATTAATGCTTGCTAATATGCCTTGCGTAATGAATTTAATTATAATATTATATGTCATTAAGATATAACAATATAAAGGATATAATAATTAGATATAAATTACATAAATTATAATAAAATATAGTGCACATTTTCTATAATCCTTAATATATCGGTAAATAAATAACTACATTATTATCCTATTTTTTCTATCATATTTTATTCATTATTTTGTATTATTCATTATATTGTAAAAACTGTAATAAAAAAAATGATAAGTATGCATATACAATTTAACAAGAACTTTACGTGTTATGCTTTTTTTATTAAATGTTTTAGTAAATTTTTAAATAATTTTAATGTTGTGAAATCCTCAATATATTAATTAAAAGCAGAGATGCTTTTTTTTAATTTCTATATAATGGATATATATATTCTGCTTTTTACATAATATATCATATGGAAACTCTAATATTAATAATAATATATTTTAATTTCGTATATATAATTAAAAATCATACCCTCCTTAATCTTATATCATTCATGTAATTATTATTAGGATAAGCTTAATTTTGTATACTTATTGCTATTCATATAAAAATCGATATTTTTATACTATAATATTTTATTATCTTATATATTTCACCTGCAAAATAACATAATCTTATTCATAATGAAGAACAAATTTGTCTGTTACAATTACTGATATATTAATTGTAGTGTTATTATATTTGAGTGCTATACAATTTGTAAATATATAATCTATATAATGTAATTTATAATATAATATAATTTTCTTTTCCTTTTTAGTATAATAATGTGAATTATTTTCCTAAATGTAAAAAAATTATAGACCATATAACTGATGATCTTGGTGGAACGGATTCTACTGATGGTTTTTATGTTACACATAAAATTGAGAAAAATATATTTGATCAAAAATATTGCGGAATAGCTATGTCATATATACGAGAAATAGATTATTATAGTGATTCACATTATGTAACTAAAGAATCAGGTTTTTTATACTTGCTTTATTGGTTATATGATAAAATAAGCAAGGATCAAGAAAACAATGTACATAAAGTTTATGTGGCATTGTTAAAGGCTCATAAAACTGATTATAAAAGCTCTTGCTGCGAGGAATATGAAAAATATACTATTTCCAAGGAGGATATAAATGGTATCGATAAAATGTATAGTATGTATGAGTGCCTTAACAAAGTGAAAAATAAAGATGGATCTTCTGAAACGGACTCATTTTGTAAAGCTGTGGCAGCCTTTATAAATAATTACAATACAGAAATCCATAGTGGAGCTGCTGAATCACAAAACTCCACATTACTAAACGAATGCCAAAATAATAACAGGATTCCTACAATAATTATAATAATTATAGGACTATTAATATCAGTTGCATTTCTAATATTATATAAAGTGAAGGACATTTTTATTTATTTATTTATACGCATTCACAAAAAACTATTTATATATTATAAAAAAATAATATAAAATTGCCTTATATAAAAATAATATTTTTAATGTATATGCATTTTCAATATTATGAATTATTAGACTCCTCTTGGTTCACGTTTTCGTTCTTTACTTGAAAAAAAAAAAAATTATTGGAATACTATAGATCTAGAAACAAATAATATACAGCCACCTAATATAACAGAATGTGATAAAAATTACAATAAATATGATATATTATATCATTGTGACTAATTTATTCATTAACATATTATTAAGAGAAAACTTCCTTTTGAATATTGTAATTTCAGTAGATTTAAAAATAATATTTTTACAGTTATCAAAAAGAATTTGTTAATTATATTTTCTCATCAGAATATTGTGTATATGAAAAATGATTAAAAGAAAGTACATTAAAAATATATATATTAAACAGATATGTTTCTCTTTTTATTTAATATATCGCATAAATATTTTGGTAAAAAGCAAGCTCAGGGTTTAGGGTTTAGTGTTTAAGGCTGAGGGTTTGGTTTAGATTTTATGATTTAGGTTGATTAATTTGGGAGCTTTAGATTTTATTAACAGGTTTAATATATTTGCTAATATGATTATGGAAATAAATTTTTCATTAGTGTTGCAATGCGATTTATTTGAGTTCTAAATATATTAATCTCTTTTATATAAATTCATAAATTATATTCTTGATAATTGCAAACTCACGGATATTTGTATTTTTTATTACACTGTATGACAGCTTCGCAAAATAGGTGGAAATAACATAAAGTATATGTGATGTTCTCTATTGAATTTAATACATGTGGCAATATATATTTAAATATAATAAATAGAAAGTATAAATATAATTATTTTAAAATTAAAATGCATTATGGTTGGAATTAATTGTTTATTTCTGTTATTTCACTTTTTTTTTTTAAAAGATAATATCTGGATTATTATAAATTTATATCGACTGTACATATTTATAAATGACCAAGGATTATAATTAATATCTATACAA